AACGAGGGATGGCGTTGGGGAATATTTTGACTCGTACGGGCATCGACCTCGGTTAAGAGACATAAGAGCTTTTATAAGAAAAAATACGAGTGCATCGAGATACAATAGCTACCCCCTTCAAGGTCCCTTAACGACTGTTTGCGGTCAATATTGCGTATTTTTCTTATTGCATCGATGCAGAGACATCAGCATGAGTAAAATTGTCAACATGTTTTCAAAAGATACCTCGGACAACGATACATCGGTAAATGAATTTGTTCGAATGCATTTCCCTTCCCTTGGAACTAAAACGCACGACATTCTTTTCGTTTTTCGACAAATTTCAAGAGCGCTTACAAGACCATGAGATGAATGCAAGTTATTATGCTCGAGCATTAAATAATTCCATTCGTGCATAATTTCGATTAATATTTATGGGTTAAACTTTATACTTAAAGTAGCTTTTGTTTTTCCATTTGTCAGTCACTTAAAAGGCTTCCATCAACAATTAGTTGGTTGTTTTGTTTACCATTGATACTTTTAGTTGTTTTTGGGTTTTTTCGGAGTACTTAATTTAGAAGTCAATTCATTTCAAAACCATTTTAGTAACCTTACATAGAGTTAACGCATTTCCCATACATGTACTTTAACTGCTCTTGTTAACTTGCTTCTTTCTTTGAAATTTTTTTGGGGGAGTTTGTTTTTTTGTTTTTGTTTTTTATTATTGGCTTATATGTTTATTTTACGTTTTGTTTCAATTTGGGACTTTGCTTTTTTTCTTCAAGGTAGTCAACTGGTACTTATAAACTTCATGTCTTTGTTCATTTTGTCTCAACTTCTTGATTTTGGTTTAATTCTGATCAGAATTTATTAAAATATTCAGTACTGAGTACAAAGCAAAGTGTGATGGTCCACACAGTTTATGAGTCTCTGCTTGTCTTTGTCTTTCTTCATTTAATTTAAAAAGTTTGATTCGTACCAATTGAAAACCTTACACCGAACTTCACAACTATTCTATTACAACTTTGTATCAACTAGGCATTTTTTTAAGCAAGATACAAGTCCATAGCATACATTTTAGGCACGCACCATTACTTCGTGTGTGTCAACTTAAATACAAAAAAATGATTATTACAAATTCCTAATTTTATAAACACCAATCGTGCGCCAATCCTGCCATAAACCATAATACACCGTTTTCAAACTTCTTGACAACTTCTTCTCTAAACTTAACGAAAATTCTAAACTATTACACACTTACAGATAAACTTGGGAATCTTCAATTACGAACAAAATACTTTAAAAGATTTTTGTACACAACCATAAACTGACTCAAATTGATGGTTTTCAAACATTTGGAAAAAGTTCTAATCAGCGATTCTACAGTTAACAGGTCAAACAGACACTGCTCTAGGGCAATGGTGAAGTCCAAGTGCTGATCCTTCTGTGCGTACAATTTTAAAATGTTCCTCGAATCGGCCATCAAATACATCATAATATCTTCCATAAACTACCAAAACTCTGGGTTCAAATCACGACACATACATTTTTCTTTGCCTAGTTTCTCAGAGGCAGCATCGAAAAGTTCAATTGCCGCCTGTGGAAGCAGGAGTTGAACCACTGTGACATAGTAATCGGAGGCAAACTCCTCCAGAACATGCTCTGTGGTGATCCAGACGCATTCGTGGTCCCACTGGCTTGGAGAGTCAACTTCGCACCCCTCACACGGTACACGATCTTTCGAGGACAGCTCTTCAATTTTGTTCACAACTTATTTAACAAGAATCTTTTCTAACAGGGTTTTAACTCGCTGTTCGCAATTGGCCTCCACGCCTACACACAAAAATAATGCAATAAAACCAACGATTAAACTAAGCCCAAAACTTCTTAAAATTTGTTTAAGAGTCTCTTGACCAGTCTCTTCCTGCGTACAGCTTCGGAAATAGCTTTGGCGTGCGACATCAGCATGCTCCGCTGTGAAGCAGTCAAGTTTATGCCTTTCTTCTTAGCAATCAGCCTTGATTTGTCCGTGTTCCAGAAGTACTCTCTCACGTTGACGTAAGTACTGCCCCGGAAATTTTTAACAAAGATGTAACGCTCACCTTCCAGGTGAAACCTGTCTGCGTCGCGTTTGTTCTCCTCTTCATCAGGGTCCTGGGGAAAGAACCCCTTCACAGCTCTCTTCCTCTTCGCGGCAAGATCGGGATGGGCCTGCGGTGCACCGGCATTGAAATCGGGGGTCCACAAGTCAGCATTCTCCGGCTTGGTAGTGCTAACGACCCCTGTTGCGGTAGCGCCCGACCCGCAATGAAACGAATCTTGGGTAGCTTCATCCAGGGTGGCGGCTAGCTCGTCACCGGTGAGGTCGGAGGGAGCGTGGATCTCAAGCTGCTCCAAGGCGGGCAGGGGGTCGATGACAGGGAGCTCCAGCTGACGGTGCCCCGTTACGACGTTACGGTAGTAATATCTCTGCTCCTCGCCGCTGTACACTTTGCGCCATCCGGCTCTCAGGTATTGAGCGGTTAATGCATCGGTGCTCACCGCATCGTCGCTTGCTTGAGACGCCGCTGATACTGACGGCTGTACACCAGCCATATCAGTCTTCTTGGTAGTTGCCTTTTGCGTGTCCGACCATGTTTGCAATGACGCTCAACTATTTGGTAAACCTTCAGTCTCACTAAATGTGGTTCTCATGGCGGTAGGTTGGGATATGATCTATAGGGTCCACCCAGCGTGGCATTTATATCGCGCAGGGGTGTCAGGTACCCACGCGGAACTGATAAATATAGGTGTAACCAATCGTGCCGTGCAATGAAGGACTCAATGCAATGAAGATTAGTGAACCCACGCGTTCGAAGCGTTCCTTCTTGGGATGACCGTCAAACTCTTTTGTTCGCGAGATAGATACTTTACTAATTTTAGCATCTTCCCCATGGGAATTGACGACCGACGCTTTCTAAAACAAAGGAGATCCATTTGCGTTCGTGGACTCCTTTTGTATTCAACACTTCTCGACCATAGCCATAGCCATAGTGTGTGCGCATAATAACAATTTATTTGTAAACTGGTTTATGGAAGGCAACGATCAAGGCAAAAAAAATGGCAGGTGTATTGACTTCAATGTATTGGCAATGAATAAAATCATGAGTTATTTTTAGGTCGTGTTGCATGAAATGAGGCATTCTTGTAATTATATGTAATCGTGTGTTAATAATCTCCATGTTGTCACATTATCTGCTCCGAGCGGAACAAAAGAGGACGTGTTTTGGGTACCCACCACATAGGCCCGCCATGAGGCGCGCAAGTATATGCACACTTGACTCGGAGCACGCTTAGTGTGCATAACTAATTTACTCCGGCATTTGTGGTCTTGGCGGACATGCAGAACACGTGCAAGAACCCGCTAGTAACCACCTGTCTTTCTTTTTGCCGATTGGGGGTGCACTTCAGCTCGGGGCAGATATCATAGGCTAGCTGTGATCACACGCTATCATACTATCATACATCATATTGCTATCAGATATCATATCATAGCTATCATAGGTGTACTATAACCCGACAGGTTATATGAATCGACACAAGAGGATGACTTGAGACAAAGTTGTACTGTAGTTGATGTGGTTTATTCGGCTGGCTCGATGTGCGGCTCTCTGCCCAATTGCTAGAACTCATAGGGATTTTATACATTTACTGACTGAGTAACTCTGGCCCTGATCAATGGAGTCACAAACTTCTTACCAGATATTTTCGAATAATTAATTACCGTCCATCCTGGGTTTCCCAACAAGTAGGCCTATATATGTAAAGTAATGTTGTTGAAAGTTTTAACGCAAGACACCCCGATCATCAGCTTCATTCAAAATCGTCTGTATGATTACGCTTGTCTGTGACTGCTTATACTCCCTTGTACTGTTCTTCATGCTTTTGTGAGGGAACTCCTCAAACGCGGGTAGTTCCCCCTTGTGTAAGTTTAACTACTACTTAACTACTGTTTTCGAAAAGAGCTTTGGTGACAAATCTATGGTTTTGCCCACTATGTTACTATTTTTCTAAATACTTTAATGACAAATACCATGTAAATATTTTTGTCTGATACTGTTTTTTCCAAAAAGTGAAAACATGCACATTTCGTGAAATGAAACAACTGCTTGCATGACAGAATTCTTATAGCTCTCATTATGTTGCAAACTACCCTCTAAATGGGTTATGCGCAGTTCATAATTTCCACGTTGAAACATGCGCGTCAAGTTGAGCATGAATTAATGTGTGCCACCATCACCCATGGTTTTATGGGTGATGATTGCACACCTTGATTCGTGCTCACATATTTCAAATGTTCTCTTTGATTGCACCCATAATACGCACGATACTACACGATGTGCGGCGCCCCCCGTCGTAATTTTATTTAATTTGTTGACCTCCGATTATGCTGGATAAAAGTTCACCTTTAAAGTTGCCGCACAAGATTGTTTGCTGGCCAATATGCACAAGCGGGCACACGCGGAAACGAGCGAAAGGCGAGGTTAAATTTTTCTTCCAAACTCTTTCCATAGCTGAGGAAGCGCACAATCCACAGAAGTCCATTCCCCTGAGTACCATGGCCACAGTATTCTTCGTATTCCTGTCCTTCTTTGGTGTGTCCATTGTACTGACCATGATCTGCCCTTACTACCTCCTGGACGAAAAGGCACCCTTGCCTGAAGCTTTTGAGCGGATTGGCTGGACGGTAGCCAAGTATGTTGTCACGGTGGGCGGCATTGTGGGATTGTTTACCAGGTATCTTTACCAGCTAAAACGTAGTTGTGTGTAGATACTTTAGTATAAAGTCCTAAAGAAGATAACGATCCCTGGCGCAAATCACGAGTAAGTATTATAGTATGGTTATTCTGGACACAAACACATTTGGGTACCTACCCGACCCCCCAGAAAAAAAGTGTTTTTGGACTCCACCCCACATCTCCGGACTCTCTCGCTACACTCGCTATGATTGTTGCAAATCAGGAAGCTCTTGCTCTAACGAGACAATCTGACGCTCTACCCGACTTAGCTACCCAACTCAGCTACCCGATTCGTTTGCAACCAGTCAAAACCCCCCATTTCACAGCGAAACGGAGATTTGGGGCTGTCGAGCAAGTAGTACAACGTTAGACCCGTCGTCACCTTTTACCGTTGCGCCTTTTGAACTAACTCGTACACTTCTCGATTTTTGGTACATGTCGACGCTCCATATCGGATCGCTTGCTCTCTTCACGATGCCACTTTCTTGTTCACCCGGGTGGTACAAGTATCGAACCAAAGCGTTGTTGGGTAGTATACAAATACAGCATGGTTTGAGGTGAAGCAGTGGGAAATACTGGTCCCGAGGTGTGTAGGTCAGCTTGACTTCGCGTCGGTCATGCTGACCAGTAATTCCCATTATTTTCCCGAAGTAAAGAATGCTGTATTTGGTTTACTGCACCTCATAAATTATATTTAATTAAAATGTCTAATTTTGAAGGTTCGGACAGACTAAGAAACCTCTTCAAAATCCAGCTTTTTGTCTTGACAGAATTTTTCCAGGAGCCTCACTGCCTTGTCAATAACTGCTTTCGTAGATTTTGCATCTTTTTTTCAGCACAGTAAGTTCAAGTTCATGTTCAGATAATTATCGATAAAGATGGAAGTCTAACATTACTTGTACTCAGAGACGCCATTGTTGTTTCTCAGCTGCTAAATTTCCGTGTAATGCATAGTCGAGTGCAGATGTGCATGGCAGCAGGGCTTCAGTAGTCTGGTGCTGACATACGTTTTGGGTCTTTACTGTAATAGTTATTAGGATACAACTCTAGAGTGGTTCCATAAAGATAAAATGACATACACTGCACATTTACAGGGCGGGTTCCAGAGGGATTTTTTGGTGCTACCAGAAAAAACTACATCACGGCAGCGAGGTGGATAGCACCGGTATGACATCACATGTTCGCGTATCATTTCTTCTTTCCAGACGCTAGGTAGAATTGGCCAATGACGGGCTCCGATTTGCTCATGAATATTTATGAGGTGTAGTTAAATTTTGCTGGTTCTCTTGGGGAGCAGTCGGCAGCTGTTTCACTCGATCTAGCTTGATAGCTTCATTGGGAACTGCGTTTAATTAAACCTGGCCTTTTCTCGATTTAAAGCCCAATGACTTGGGTAACCCTGATACACATTGTACAGATTTCTCACTTGGATTGAACTTCTGCGTATTGGTGCCCAAACAATCGCTCGGCTGGAGCCCTGCTAAACCTTCCTGCAGTCCCTTGCAATCGATGAACCCCTGGTTCACCTACGAACGGTTTTACCCCCTTGTTTTATGAGAGATTTTAAACTCACCTTTAAATTCCGAGCCAGAATCTATGTTAAGCAATCGAGGCCAAGTCAAAGGAGATCTGCCGTAATTCGTTTTATAGCGTCCGTCACTTGTTCGGCTGTTTTGCTAGTCAGAGGTTCTGCTTCTTTGTATCTAGAAGCAACGTCGACCACCGTTAACGCATATTTGTACGGTAAGTTTTACCCCTTGGGCCTTTTGGCACACGATCCCAGAGTAAATACAACACGTCCATTTGGTGCGTGTAGTTGGTTCAGCAAAGTCTTTTTGTAAGTGGTCGGCCTAGGTATATACCCTAGGGCAGGTAGACAAATTTGCCAAAAGGCTTGTTTCGCTAACCAGGCTCTTACTACACTTCTATTGATACGGTTTTTTTTTGTGTAAATTTTCAACGGCTCCCTCTCCTTTCCAATAACCTCTAGGGCTGTAATAAACATCTTTGAGCTTTGGGGTGTAGGACTTTTGGGTTTCGGACGTTTGAGTTTCGGACTTTTGGTTTTCGTTCATCTTTGAAAAAAGAAGAAATTAACCTGAACCAAAATTTCTTTACCTGTAGTGATAAACCAAATAACCCACAAGGGCATTTCCACCCAACACAAACAGGAGTTCTCTTTCTCGTTGATTATCGCTGGGTGTGTAAAAATCACTCAACGTGGACTCTGGAGGCAGACCCGACAGTAAGTACTCCCCGTGATTTCGTTATACGCCATCAAAGCCTCGTCCACATTTTTAAACGTTCGCTCTGAAGCTTTTTGCATATGAATTTGCTCATTTAAAAAAATGTAAAAGTCGAACACGATTTCGCTCCCATTGTTGTTTTGCTTGAGCCAATTGTTTTAATTCTAAATCGTGTCTCTTGCATCCTGCATCGACCTGTCCTTTCGAAATGCTGCTAAACAAAAAACTAGACCCCTTGAATGCCAATGCGTTGACAGTAGCTCCACCAACCATCATCAGAACACTCGCCATAGTTTGATTTTGGTTTTACCTAAAACCATCAAAAACCTAGCTAACAAAAATAGAATCAAACTTCAAAAACTCAAACTCCACATTTTTTTGGTGCTTTAGTTTTTGAGGCTTATATGTAAACTCAACCGGCCACAAATATGATTTACAGTAAAACGCTCAATCCAAACCGTCGTCTGAAAGTTCCCAGGGTCATAAAGGTGAAAGGCGTGAAGTGGACATTACTCACAACCCCAGCACCATAGTTGCGAAACAAAAACTAATCGTTAAGTTTCCACCTTTAGGCGTGGACGACGTAATAGTTCCCGGTACTGCCAAACTGTCCTTTAAACTCAACCTAGGTGGGGAACGGACGACAACAGAATCGTTTTAGCTCGCAACTTGCTTTAAGAGCTGAACGTCAGTCTACATGGAAATACCACCATGAGCCATAGATACGCAGATGTTTTCGCAGTTTCAAAGACAACTGGCTGCTCGAGACTCTAACCAAAAATAGGGTATATTTTGGACTCGAAAGAGAAAACGTGTCTAGACGCCGGATCGGCGCGGGGGAAGCGTCTGATTCAGCCAACGATGGAAAAGACAAAGCAATCGCAGACGCTTTTGGTATTGATACGCCACTCCTCTGGACGTCAAACTATTAAACGACCACAAGCCGTTTTTGCCCTCGGCCCTAAAGCAGCCATTGACATATGAGCTCACTTTTAACGATCATGATAAAGTGGTCAAGTCTACAGATACAGCTGCTCAATATTCCTTGTCGGACCTAGCTCTCGAATGCGAAGTAGTGACCAATTGCGAACTCGTGCAAACGATTCGCAATAAACACCAAGGTCTAACATATTATTTTTTTGACTTTTTTTATTGTTTGATTGCGTGCATAACTTAGAAACTTTGGTGGTAAACAAATCAGATACCCCGTGGAATATTTTAATAAACCAACCCATTAAGAGTCTCAAAGGGGTGCTAATCTCTTTTGTAAAGAGAGGAGGGGGAGCAGTGGTAGGACTGGACATCAAATGATGCGACGAGTGACTTCCATCTAGAGGTTCTTTGAATGTGCCATTTAATAACAGGGAGCATGTAGACAATATCCCTAAGAAAAATCCCCCAGTAATGGCACAGCCTGGCTACCGTAGCTAGGTGAACATCAAGAACCAGTTGCACAAATCAGGTTCAGTTCGGCGAAACTGCCGAAAATGGTTCAAAAATGTCTCCGTTAGGACGAGCACGTCTTCGTCAGGGCTGACAAAAATGGCAGCTTGGCGGGCCAACAATCATGTGATCGACGTTAATGCATTACAACTTTATCATGATTTTTGTCACCTAAGCCAAACATTACCAAGGAATCAGGGCCAAATCGCGGGCGCAAGGGCCTAAGAACCACTAGGCGCTACAATGGTTATCTCGTAGGGGGCCTCGCGCTCAACCCTCCCAAATAGCATAACACCAAAAAAAAAAAAAAAAAAAAGCCTCCATAATTTAAAACCCTCCTTAATTGTAAAATTGAGTTAAAAGTATGGCAGAAGGAGGGTTTGGCCCAGAAGAAATACCCCTTAACAAAATAGACCCGGGCGTGGAAGACCAAGACCTGCAAAACCAAGAAGATTTAGACTTGGACGACACATCTGTACCCAGAGAACAAGAAACGACGATTACAGAAAAGGAAAGACCAACCATGACGGATCCTTATGACGACATTTTTTATGAAGGAAGGAACGTATTTATAAATAATCCTGAAGTAGATGATTTCTATTGTGAGTTTAAACTTGCCGGTAGAACTGACCTACCAAGACCCAACTATGAAAATTTTGAATACCAACAAAATAAACGTCTGTTTTATAAATCAATAGGTAGATACAGAGAAGTATTGCTAACCTATTGAAATAGAATGGGCTCACCTGTAAAACTAGATCAAATAGCAAAGAATGCTAAAAAATGCCGGTTATCCAAATGAACCAGATTTTGTTAGAAACGAACTGGGTTTCCTTACTTATGGAAGAAATATTCGACAAACACAATCGACCTTACCTGCCGTTAAAAACCCCATAAACATCCTGTTACAAGAACTTCCCAAAGAAGCAGATCGAGTGAGTGAAAGTATAGAAGACCTTATCCAGACAAAGATTGTACGGGGCTCCCACACCAGTTCCTGCTTCTCCTATACCGGGCATTAAAAACGAGATCCAGAGGCAGCTGCAGAACTTGGCCAACGTGTAAATGAAAATCGGTTTGTCGGCGTTGGGGGCTTTACCGGAAGTAATGGGCCTCGAGCTTAACCAAGAGAGGGCACACTTATCCTAGCAGTCGTGACTCCGCTTGCGGTACTTACTACGTCTCGCTGGTTCTCGAAGACGTTTCATCACTGATTTATTCCACGGTAAACCAGGTAATCCAAAAGACTGTTCCCGAACTTTTTTGCGCACAAGGGATTTTAGTAACAGTGAGGGGTGTAGTGCACTAA